AGCGTTACCTTAGTTTTGTTAGCTTAATGTGTTAGTTGTATTGAACTTTATACTTTGTTGGTTTTAATGTTGTTGTTGTTGTTGTGTTGTTGTTGTTGTTGTTGCTTGTAATAGAGAATTTGGTATGCTGGCAGGTGGTGTAGCTGCCAAAACAGGCAGTTTCTGCCCAGAAAAGCGACCAACTTTGGTCGCTTGTTGGTCGCTTTTCTTATTAAAAAAATATTTTCTGGGCAATAGCGACCAAGGTTGGTCGCTATTCTATTTTAAAAAAAAATTCTGGAAAATATGTTTAAAAAATAATTAAATTCTTGCAATTAGCGACCAATTTTTGGTTGCTTATGTTTAAAAAAAAATAAAAAATTAAAAAAAGCTACCAACTTTGGTCGCTATTTTCCAGATTTTAAAATATAATATTTAGTTTACAGACTAAAGTTGGTCGCTATATTTTGATTAATAATAAATAAATAAAAAACGTAATTTAAATATAGAGTCCAACTTTGGTCGCTAAATTTATATTATTAAAATACTAAAGCAACCAAAGTTGGTCTCTATATTTAAAACCCGAAATGTTTGGTCCTTTTACCTTAGAGACCAAAGTTGGATTAGCGACCAACTTTGGTCTCTAAGGTAAAGCAACCAGCAAAATAGCGACCAAGCTAGTTTGGACGCTTTTTGGTCGCTTTTTGACCGGTAAGCGACTAACTTTGGTCGCTTTTTATGGTCGCTTTTTTCCGAATTTCTAGTAGTGACATAACCCACACATACGTCTACGGAGCCTTTAAAAATGTAAAAGACAAGTATGACAATGCCGGCAACAAGACCCCGGCTATACCTCAAAAGTGAAAGTCTACAACAAAGATGTACAACATAATCCCTTGAAGGAGAAAGGGGGCTCACCAAGACTTCGAAAATAGAACACTCCGCTATGCGCGATCGACACTGTCTATTATGGAGCCACCTACATTCATTTAAAAATGTAGCGCCCCCGACAAAAGGGACGTTAGTACCATGAAATAGTACTAGTATGTATAACTAAACACCATATAGTTAGAAAGAACTTTCATACAAGAATAAGAAATCACAAGTATAGCTAAAAACTTTAAACGAACATCACATTATCAAATAAAAGAATCATACAACTTTCACATCATTTTTCTATAGCTTTTAGTTTGGGGCATTTCACACTATTCATCATTGTTCACAATACCACCGCTATCTTGAGCGGAGTTCGATCTCGACCCGATCGGTTAGGTTGCCTCATTTGAGACATATACTTCAATCATAATCTCATTTTCTTCTTTTTCGAAATTCATTCACAATATCACCACTTTTTTGAGCGGAGTCCGATCTCGGCCCGATCGGCTAGGCCGCCTTTCCAAGGTATTGTTCCCTTCGCATTAATCATTTCCTTTCACATATATCATTTCATAGGCACTTGGGACCACAACTTATCACATTATTCTTGGCACTAGGCCGCATTTTTACATCGTTTCCAATTTCAATATTAGCTTTGCCATTTAGAACAGTAGGTGCTCACAAGGGCAATTTAAATTGTAAGCGTAGATAAGACTTCCCGTAGGTGGCACAACAATGAAATTTCAATCTAAATTTAAAGTCCAAGCATTTCAATACATAATTCATATCCTTGCCCTTTTCAAGTTATTATGGTAGCACGTTGATCACGTTAAGACACATCTTTCATGCCTATACGGTTACAACACCAATTCATATAAAATAGCAAGCAGTGCAACAATTCAACTTTAATCTTACCATATTCTCACATCCGTCGATGAAGCTCAATTTTTAAAAGATGGGGTTTTAGCCATACATACCTCAACTGATCTTTCCTTGATCCTATAACGCTCCGGAATGTTCGAACTTCAATCTATTTAAGCAATATAGCACAATTGAACCCATAATGAGGAAAAGATCATAATCTAAGCTCACTTGAGCATTTTATCAAGAATTGAGTGTTCATTAAGGTCTTATGACCCTTTTTATGGAAGATTACACTAGCCCTTTCCCCATGCCTCTCTATTTGTAATTTTCCCATATCTTCTAAGAAAATATGCATGCAATGCAATCACCCTTATCCCCATGAATTTCCTTACTAATGACCCCTTATAGCTATGTATAAAATTAAGAGCTGAGGTGATGAAGTCTTACCTCCCGGGATGAAGGTTTTGGTGCTCCACTTGATTATCTTTAATGTTTTTAACAAGGAATTGTGGAGCAATTTTGATGAAAGGCACTTGCCCTCTCTTAGACCCTCCCTCTCACTCTAAAAGCACCAGGAAATAGGCTCAAAATGAGCTATTGCACATAATATAATGACAGAGGGTCGGGTTTAAAATTTAGAAATCTGGAGCCCCGACTCAGATCTGCAATCGCAAAATTGACATGCGGCCCGCAGAATGGACCGCAAAAATGCTCCCAAAAACTTGGACAATCTGCCTGGGTATGCGACCAGAATGCGGTCCGCATACCCGTTCTGCGGTCGCAAAATGCACCGCAGAACCGCTCCTCGCAAAAGTTCCAAGGGGATTATGCGACGACCATGCGGCCCGCATATCGACTATGCGATCGCATATTTGGCCGCATAGTTGACCTCAAAATTAACCTTCACACTGCCTGACTTTGCGGTGACTATGCGGTCCGCATAGCTATTATGCGACCGCAGAGTTGACCGCAGAATTGCACTTTTCTGGAAAACACTATTCTTTAACTTTTTAATGCACAGATCAATCCAAAGGGGTCCGAGCCGCGAAGAATTTTATGAATTTCTAACACATGATCCTAATTTGACACAACAAGACTTGATTTTTTAAGTAAAAATTTCACGGCGCCTTACAATTATCTTCGATTTGATCATCCAATTCGCACTAACAAGCATACATAATTCTGTGGCAAGGCAATAATTTCATTATTTTCTTATACCTATTTGTCACATACACAACTCTTTGCTTAGTTACACATGCAATCCAAATGCTTATATCCTTCATGATTCTAGAAGTTCTTATGAATAATGGCTAGCGGGAGTTCACATTCAATCATGGTTGGCACATTTGAATTTTCTTACACACAAATAATGTGTGTCTGTCGAATCTGCAGCTGTGTATGCTATATTATATACATATTATTCACATTTTCTATAATGGATATAACATATTACAGACTTTACTAATTCTTTTTTCCTTTTAATAAATATATAGCATACATAATAATTAAAGGGCTGGCATACTGCATAATGTTGTAGCACTTCATGTACTAGTTTAGCTGTAATTTTAGACAGATTTCATACGCATCCTTTGTTATATTATGCGACGTTTCTTAGTGGGTTATAAAAATCTAGTTATTTTAAACTTAAATAAACATTATTTAGAGAGTAAATATATTACGATACGTATAACGTATTTTAATCTTGTAATTTTGAGATCCTCAATACTCATCCAATACGTAGTGTAAACATGTTTCTATTTTTGTTAAAATTTATAGTAATTTCTTTATTTGATAATTATGCGCGCAATGCATATTTGACTTTTCTTTTTCAAATAAATAAAATTTATGGTCTAATTAAATCTTTTTTCAAAATAATATATTGAATCTTAACCATTTCACATTAATTTTGAATATTGTCTTTACTATTCGTTTCTATTTTGTTTGACATATATTTGTAAGTGTCTAGCAAATATTTCCTTAACTCAATTTTGCCGGTCATTTTGATTGATATTATCATGTTCAAAATCATTACTACATTGAATATTTATTTTTATTTTATAAAATATTTAAAAAATATTGTTTACATTTCATTAGGAAGCCCGACTCTGAAAAAAATAAAAAATTATCACAAAAATAATAAACTAGAGAAATAGAACAATTCATACCTTTATGCTTTCCACAAATTAAAACCCTAAAAAAATGTTAGCCATAGAGGTGAATTTGGTAGAATTTACTATTTATGTGGTATTATGCACGTGCATATCACGGGATAACAATATTAGTAGGAGGTGTGTTGGCGCCAACGAAAGATGAAGTTTGTTATTTTTAGAATATTGGAATCCGAAACCTACTCTTTGTCTTCCATTATATTTCTTCTCAATTATCATTTCCTCCAAAACCCTAATCCTTTCCCTTATTGAGAATTGTATGAATCTTGAAAAAGAAATGAAAAATTAGAAGGGGGATCAAGAAAGAAAAACAATAGAATCCGGGGTTCACTTATTATGCAAATTTGAAGCTACAAATTGTTGTTCTTATTCAGGTACTTAATTCCCATATCAAGATTATCCTTTTCTTGCTTTTGGTCATTGTGGTTTGGCTTAATGCTTTCATTTTCTTTGTGCTTTTCTGTAAACATTATGTGTTCTTTCGCTAACTGTGATGTCGGGGCCAGTTGTGTGTACCTCAGCTAATTTCATGAGTGTCTGCTACCCCTCTCGTCAGCTATCCACCAAGGCTTGGACAGATGGAAAGAAATCACCAAACCTTTTTGACTCTGTTGGATTTGGCAAACATTTTGTGTTAATGTCGACAATTATTTTTCTTTGGTTTTCTTTTTCCCCTTTAGGGAATTTCAATTTGAGGGACCTTTTAGTGGAGCTGCTTCTTGAGAGGTGGCTCCATCTATAGGAAGACATTGTCAATACAAGGATGCTATATACATAAGGTAATATTTTGTGTCATAGATTTACCATTTAGCTGCTATTTTCGTTCCTTAAGTGACTTCTATTAGTTTGAAAACTCAAATAATTATTGCAAATATAGAAATTTGCTAAAATATGATTATAAGAAGTTCTATCTTCCTTTTTATGCAAAGGAAAATATTATTCTAAATTAACATTAGCATAAAAGGGGACTTTTATGGGGTGCATAATTCCTATTAAGTCCTTCATATAGTATTCTAGCACAAACGGTATGTCTGTGTGTGTGTTGTGGGTGGGGG